TTTCAAATATTTTCTGCTGAACCAAAAGCTAAATGGGCTTTGGTCACTACTGCATTGCTAATACAAAATCAAGAAGTGACTATCCTTCTGGAATATTAATACAGTGAGCCTGGAGACATGATATTGGTGTGTAGCAGAAATCAGGAGGAAGGAGTCAGGGTGCTGTGGTGATTTTCTGAGCAAGGAAGGAAGTTGATACAAGTGGAGGAAGTTCACAGCCAGCTGACACTTTGTGGTCAAATAGTTTCTAATTAGGAATTCACCAACTGGCTCTTTGTCGCAGTGATAAGTCATTAACAGGAAACGGTTTCCTAAAAGAGTTTTATAGTAGCTGATTTAATGAAAAAAGTTTAGACAGTTTTCAGGATTCAGAAATTTTGAGGTAACTAATATGTTTTTAAAATCCTGTGTCATTTTTTGTATTTATAAATGCTAACCTTATCCATTGAGATTGCAATTAGAATCTCATCATAGCCTATCATAGCTCTAAAGTTACTATTTATCATACTTGTATCCTAGGGAAAGATTTGAATAAAAGAAAAGAGGCAATTTAGCATAGTTTTTTCCCACATAAAAGTCTCCCGCCTCTGCTTGAACCAAGCAAGTTGTGATTACTGATATATATATTATAAAATACCTACATATTTTGTAACTTTAAACAAATGGTTATGATCATTGCTTTCTCACATTTAAAAATCAAATTTATTTTGTATAGGAAGATATTTTTCTAAGGAAGTTATAGTGTCTATAAAAATGAATAATAGAAACCAATATTAACTTATATGTATTGGAATTGTTCAAAGAAATAAAATATTACTTAAATCTACTGCTGTTAACAACACTGTAACATTTATCGGTTTTGCAATAAGAGATTTATAGAAAATTACTATGGTATTACTTTTTATGTTTCATATTGAAAGCAGGTAAAGTAGCTTCTAAGCAATGGGTCATTATCGTTCACAGCTAACAGTGCTTAGCAGTTAGGATTTTAACCACTGACATCATTTTCTTTGAAAAATAATAGATGTTATTTAATCCTTATAGATAAATTGCTGCATAACTATGACTTTTTTGCTTACAACATTGCCTAAACGTAGTCAATATGAACAAGAAGTTTCGGAATAAGTTTACTAGAAGAAAAAATCTGAATTAAAACATTTATATATTTATTCTCTCAGATGTACTAAGAGGAATCGAGTGTTATTTCCAATCTATTGTGTTCATGTGCTCGGTCGTGCTACACTCTTTGCGACCCCAAGGACTATAGCCCGCCAGGCTCCTCTGTCCACCGGATTTTCCCAGGCAAGAATACTGGAGTGGGTTGCCATTCCCTTCTCCAGGGGATCTTCCTGATCCAGGGATCAAAACTGCATCTCTTATGTCTCTGACATTGGCAGGAGGACTCTTTACCACTAGGGCCACCTGGGAAGCCCTTCCAAACTATTATCAAAAGGCAGTTCAAGCTGCTGTAAGCATCTGATGACACTTTATGTTAATCTTTTAAAATTCCTACCTTTAGACAATTCCTCGCTGGAAGGTTAATGGCTAAATTATATTTATTACAGGTAGTTTTCAAAAGCGAAAGCAATGCCCACTTTACACAGTTACTGTGGAATGTAGGAAACTGTCAGATATTACCTCTGAGGGTTTGTATGGTGGCTTGTCTAGTGAAAGATGCCAGAATCAGATGAAGAAGAACCGGGATTGACTTATCTTCTTATCTCCAAGGTCTTGTTCCCAATTCAGAAGGCAGAGGCACTGAGTGGACTTTGAAGTGCTTGAGATAGTCCCTGAGGACCAAGCTATAACCCAGAGTATTCATTTATATTGAATTTTCTTTCAATCTTTTGTCTTGGCAGGAATTAAACATAGGGCTTATTCTAAACAATCAAATAATATTAAGGCTGTTTTTGCTATGACCTTTCTCTAGGAAAACTTGGAAAATTTTATAAACTATTTTCTAATTAAAAATATCCATTTGGGCCATTCTTAGAGTACTCCCAGGGGATGAGCTCAGGGTAACATTTCTAAAATGCTGCTCTTTGGTCCCTAGAGCACCATACTATTTCCTAACACTGATTTGTGGTCACTGCCAGGATCTCATATATAACCTCAATATGTAGAGGAAGGTGACACATACTCTTTGCTTCATGTATAAATTCCTATAATTTTCATGGAGAAAAACTTCTTAGCAAGATTTATCAAAGTACCTAAAATTATTAATGAAAGGACTCTTGGTTACAAACCCAGAAATTAATCACAAGAGAAAAAAGTTGTGAAAAGATTTGTATCTAGCAGATATTCCTATTATTAGGAGTCTTTGGAATATTGGGAGTCTCTGGAATGGGTGAATTTAACTCAGATGACCATTATATCTACTACTGTGGGCAAGATTGCAGGCAGATTCTTTGCCAGCTGAGCCACAAAATGTTAATATTACTAGATATCTTGTCTGTCTAAGATCAACTCTCTCAGTATCTACAGGGCACCACATACATTTAAAGAAATGATTTCTTCATTTGAAGATTTTTCACAGTATACATTTTTCATAGCATTCTGCTGTTTTATATCCTCCTTTAATGGTTCTGGTGTAAATTCTAACAGGAAAGTAGCAACCTCATACAGCCTCATGACTTAAGTAGTATCTGGATAGTGATGTTCCCAAATGCACACTTCCAGTCCTGGGATCATCAAAGAACCCTGGGTACACCTCTGGGAAGTCTAACAGGCATCTCAAATTTAATAGAACCATTCACGCCTAACCAAATCCAACAACCAAACCCCAGACCTCCTCCACTTCAAGAATTCCTTTTTTTTCACTTAATGATACTATCACCTCACCAAACCTACTTATCATCCTTATACCCTCTTTCCATTGCTCTAATTTCCAATTCATCAACAATTCCTGACAACTCCATTCATCATAAATTCATCCAAATCCATCAATTTCTCATATTATTCACTCTTTTTATTCTAGTCCCAATCACCATGATTTTCTGCCTATGTTCCTTCCTTTTTCTATGCTTGCTCCTCAGGGTCAATTTTTCCATTGTAAAGCCAAAATTATCTTTATAAAACATAAATTAAATTGCACCATCCTTTGCCTAAAGCCTTTAAAAGGTTTCCTTTCCTACTTAGGAGAAATCTGAAAAGCCCTACCAGAGCCTATCAGATTCCCCTTAATTTAATCCATGTTCTTTTTTCCCCTGTAATTGTTTTGCTTCAGTGACATGGTTCTCTGTCCTCTGAATGCAATTAATCTACTCCTGCCACAAGTCCCTGAATGTATGAGCTCCTCGTCTGGAACACAGTTCTCCCGGATTTTCCTCTGATTTCTTCTTCCTTTCCAGTGAATCCGTGCCACTCCGTTTCAACCGGGCAGTATCCTCCCCACCCCCAGAGAGGCCTCCACTAGCACTCGCCCAAGTGCCTTTCCGACCTCATCCTGCTCTGTTTTCTTGATTTGTCTCTATTTTTAGTTATAGGCACCGCATTTTCTTTTTTCTCAGAATATAAACCTGACAAGAGCAGGGTTGTATCTGCTTTGTTCACTCATGTAACCTCAATGCCTTGTGTAGAACCAGGTCTACGGTGGGAACTCAGTAAATATTCATTAAATACTTGGCATAAATTAATGATTAAGACATTTACAAAGTGGTTTGTTTTTTTTTTTCACAAAGTGGTTTTTTCAAATGAAAATTCCTACTTGTTTAATGACTCTAAGTGCAGAGATTACAGTGTGGAAAATGAGGTGTGTTCAATGGCAGACCAAGAAGAAAGGTGTTTAAGGGCAAATATATGAAGAAAAATTTTGCTAAACATATACTTAGATATGCAAAAAAGGATAAGAAGAATAATTGTTTATCCCTATGATGAGAGATGGCATTTTTATAGTACTGCTAATAAATGCATATAATATCTATAATGATTTTTAAAAAATGAACTACCAAGCACAAATAAGTGATCACCTAAATCTGCAGATTAGATTCTGAAATATGTTCCTATTTCTACTCCTTCCCTTGTTCCATAATTAGTCCCAAATTAATAAATTCTCACTTCCAGAAGATGATTTTCCAAACCTTTTCAAATTTGACCCTGTGGTGGATCCTGTTAACTGCACTGGATATTACAATTCCCCCTGCCAGGACACTCACATATGACCAGCAGTCAGAAGTCCGGCAAAAACAAAATTTCTCCTGATCTTTTCACGAAGGAACATGTTCTAAGACATTAAAGGTGGCTGTTGTAGCAAAACCTGTACAAAATATTACTTTCTGCTATCTTCTGTAAAAATTTAAACTTCAATCATATCATCCTAGTAGAGTTTAAAAAGACAGATCTCAAAGGTAGCATTTTATTTGATATCTCTTGTAACTCTAGAAGGAAACTTAAGCATGAATAATTGGAGATCTGCACACTAATATAAAGATGAAAGAATGGGACTCAATTTAACTTGGGTGCTAAAAAAAAGTGGAATTCTTTCCTGCTGCCACTTTGAAAAGGATATGATTTTGAAAGTTATGAAGCAAGAAGGGGCAAATGTTATGCCAAATGGGCAACATATCAGTAAACCCTCCTGTGAAGAACTTTTAATAAACCCTATATTTTGAGAATCTATTTATTCCTTTGTGAATATGTCTTTAATCTGTGTATTCATTTGTGTACAACAGCTCCATTCTTATTTTACCTACAACCTGATTTCCCATCTTTTTTCTATCTTATTTGTTAGGAATGAAGCTTATCCTGAGAGTCTCATTATTTATTGAAACCCTAAAGCTAAATTCTCTTTCTACAGATACATAACTGACTGTCTGTTAAAATACTGCTGCACACTACATATGAAAATCACTCAGCCAAGTATTTCCAAAACTCTAGATTCAAATAATTTCTTCCAATATTGAACTTCAGGTAGGATTATCAGATAGGATTTACAGATTGATCACATCCATCACTTATTCTGTATCATTTAGTATAAAAATACATAGAACATCAGCACTTACCTGAATAACGTGCCTCAGTTTATCAATAATCTGATTTATCACAGGATCTATTCCTTTGACTTTGACTTCAGGATTTCCAGATTGGGCTTTGATTCCATTTCCAACGACACGCTGAGTGTAGCTAACAAAGTGAAAAGTGAAAGGCATGTTACTTAATAATCTGGTCACAGTATTCTCTGCCACATATTTTTGAACAGATTTGAGTTCAGAATTTTACTCCTTTAAGAATATATAGTAATGTATTTTTTCTTGGAATTAAACCTGGCACAGCTGTAATGTTTATTTTCCTGGTAAAAAAACTTAGCATGCAAATAGAGACTATTTTATTGTTATCCTCTCAAAAGACCCAACCAAAAATTGGGTTTTTAATGCTACTTACCAATATGATAGAAAAAGTTAATATATATCCTAATCTTTTACAATTTCTTGCTGAATTATACATATTCTGAATCCATATTATCTGGGCAATTTATTTCATTTTATACAGCATTTAGATGAATCTCAAATTATTTTACATATTGGACTGCAAAAGAAATATATGTATGGGTGTGAGTTGATATATACACATACACACATATGTATACCTACATACATGCACATGGGCTTCCCAGGTGGTGGTAGTGGTAAAAAACCCTCACGCCAATGCAGGAGACATAAGAGACATGGATTTGATCCCCTGGAGGGTCAGGAAGATCCCCTGGAGGAGGGCATGGCAACCCACTCCAGTATTCTTGCTTGCAGAATCCCATGGACAGAGGAGCCTAGAAGGCTACAGTCCATAGGGTCACACAGAATCAACATGACTAAAGTGACCTAGCGTGCATGCACACACACACACATGCACACACGCACACACACACACACACACACATGCGTTGTTGCTGTTCAGTTGCTAAGTAATGTCTGACTCTTTGCAACTCCATGGACTGCAGCATGACAGGCTTCCCTGTCCTTCACTGTCTCCCAGAGTTTGCTCAGACTCATGTCCATTGAGTTTGTGATGCCATCCAACCATCTCATCCTCTGTCGCCCCCTTCTTCTGCCCTCAATCTTTCCCAGCATCAGGGTATTTTCCTGTAAGTTGGCTCTTTGCATCAGGTGGCCAAAATATTGGTGCTTCAGCTTCAGCATATATATGTGTATATTTGTGTGTGTGTGTGTGTGTGTGTGTGTGTGTAGTTGACATATACTGTCAACTTATTATTCATGAAAATATTTAGATTCACCAGTCATAAAGATGTACTAAGTGTCCCTTCCTCTATTCCAGTCCTTTGCTACGTGACTGGGATTCAATTTGTCTTCTCATGGTGTTCATTGTATACCTGGGAATATAATGTATTAATTAACTTGTGCTTTCATGCGTTCATTCATTAAATGCTATTATTTTTAAAAGTTTTAACTCAAATTCCAATAATATAACTTATCCTCATTTTCCTGACAGAGTGGTGTAGCATGGAAGACAAGTAAACAGCCAAAGCACAGTGCTAAGAATGAAAGATGTTCGGTATGTCACAGGATTGGCCAGAAGGAAAAGTATGTGCCTGTGAGAGGTAAGGATAACACAAGTAGAAAACATCGAACATATGGAGAAGGACATTTGGCCCAAGACACTCAGGGAAAACCTAAAGGAGAAATTATATCTTGAGTTAGTCCTTGGAGTATTAGGAGAAAAGATAGGTCTCAGATGATGTAGTTAATGTGAACTCCAGGGCAAACAATGACCTCCCAGCAGGGGAAATGGAAGAAGAATATCTAGGCTCTCATTTACAAAGGGAGAGAGCAAATGGGAAACAGTATGAGGTGGGGGACATGCCCTGCATATTCCATCCCCTCTACGCTTAAGACTCTCCTCTCAGTAATATGGTTGCTTACATTAAAGTATCATAATAAAGTGGCCTCAGAGACTTTTCAGGAAGCATTTCCACATATCTGTAATGTAATGTGCTTTCTCTGTATCTGGAGTGTCACAATTATCCATGTGCACCCTCTGAATTTTCTACAACAATGGAAATTCTTTGAAAAGATAAAAGCAGGTTCCATCATTGAGAATATGGACAAATAAAAGGAGTTTCAAAGAATACTCAGTTATTTGCAAGATAATGAAACCTAATGATCAATTTTCAAAAATAATTACTAATCGGGTCCTTCCTATGATAATAAATGATGGAATTCTTTGATATGGATAACATCAATTGGATATGACAAGAATAAATATATTAATAAATCTTTTTATTTTTAAAACAACCTTGAATCCATTTCTATATGCTGAAATAGGTTTACAGTTAGGTAATCCAGTATAAATTAGGAACTAGGGAATATCCAATAACAAATAGTAGAGGGAAAACAATTATGCATATGTTATTAACATCTACTAATGCTAATGCTCTTTAGTTAGGAAAACTCAAGTAAACCATAAGGCTTTTCTTAATGTCTTGGTAGCACTGTTATATTTTCCTTTCAAATATTTCAAAAAGATTGTGCATGTGGGTCTTTTATTAGTGTTTCATTTATTAATAGTCATGTTGAATAATATGAATACATAACTAAATAAATTCTCATCTATGATTCCAGGCATTGTCTTAATGACTTCGTTTGGAGTCTGTCAGTTTATCTCCATGATAATCACTTGTTGTAGCCATGAGATCGTGCCTCACAGGCCTCAGTGTATAGGAAGTATAATTGACTAGGCTACCTGCTACTTTGCTCTGAAATCTATTTTTTCTCTTCTCCAACCAATGACTGAGTGCAGCAGTGGTACTAACATAAACCCATTGCTGGAAGACACAGGGTTCCCTTGAGGGCCAGTGTTGGCTCAAGATTCCCCGAGCCCTTGCTGACCATTTCTTAGCCTGCACGTCATGCCAGAAAGCTTCCACTCAACCTTCCTTTTGTCTCTCTTCCACTCTGGGTCATGTTTTCTTCATGGCCAACAGCTTTCAGCCTTACTCAGATTCCCCTCCAATTTCTCTCATAGGCATTTCCCTAATAAAGTCACTCTTGTGTTTAGTCCTCCTTTGGTACCTGCTTCTTGGGGGACCTAGACCAATACACCATCTAATATTTGTACTATAATTATCCCCATGCTATAGACTGAGGAATCTAAGATCTGAATAGGTTAAGTAACTTTTCCAAAACAGCACTGTTGGTTAAGTATACATCAAGGATATGAACCCAAGGAAGTGAGCTCTAAATACAATCACTCAATAATTATGAATGCAAACTCCTGAAACCAACTAATACAAATTAGAGATACAATCAACTTGGTGCAAAGTATTTTTTGTTTTTTTAGTTGTTTTATTTTGATTTTTTACTGTTAACTACAGCCTCTCAAAGGCTTAACTGCTTATAATTAAAAGAGAAAATATTATCTCCTTTAAAAGTCTCTTCAAAGAACAGCTGCCTATTACTGTAAAGAGTGAAGTAACAGTTGATGTCAGGGTGAGAACAAACTAATAGACTACAAGATTGCCTTAAGATATTGCTATGTTTCTCTTGAAATACAGACATATTGTCATAATGAAAACTGAGACTTCTCTCTTAATTTTAAATAAACACTTCTTTGATTCACATCTTGCTTTATTTATAAACCATGAAAATTTCTTTTAACATTAAATATGAGGTTTCACATTAGTGTAAAGATTTTATTTATTTTTAATTTGCATAGTTAATAACCTAGATTAAACTTATCAGAATTACAATTAATCAAGAATTGTTTTTCAAGCTAGTATATTATTGAATAGTTCGGGATCACTATTATTGTGTATTATTTAAATAAGACAAAGTACTGAACAGAAGGGCATTTAATATACTTCAAGTTAAGCATACATGAATAAAATTAGGCATTCATTTCTATTTATTAAGGCTAAGAACAACAATGCAATAGTGATATATACACACCAGAATGGTTTACATGAAAAGAGATGACACTAAGCATTGGCATGGATGGGGGGCAATTAGAACCCTCTGTCTTTGAGGATGGGAGCTTAAACTGATATAAACCCTTATCTGACATGTATCTGGGAATACACTTAACCAGAAAGGTATAAGAATGTTCAGAGAAGTACTATGCAGAATAGCCCCCAATTGAACACAACCCAAATATTCAGAAACATTGCATTGGCAAATAAATGGTTGAATATTTATATAATAGCATAGTATTGATATATAGCAGTGAGAATGAGTTACAACTAAACTCCAAATTTTATATGCTAAATATGAAATGAAAGAAGCAATATATGGAATATACTCTATGATTCCATTCATTAAAAGTTTAAAAATTAAACAATGATATTACAAATCACCATAAGTGCTACCCTAAGAGATAGTGTACAACAGGTTGAAGAGGTTACTGGGGTTCTAGCAATCTGTTTCTTGATTTGGATCCTAATTAAACAAGAGGGCTCATTTTGTATATCAAAAAAAAAAAAAAAGACGTGAAATGCCTAGGGCTTCTCAGATGGCGCTAGTGGTAAAGAACCCACCAGGCAATGCAAGAGACACAGGATTGGGTTCAATCCTTGTGCCAGGAATATCCTGTGAGGAAGGCACCACAACCCACTCCAGCAGTCTTGCCTGGGAAATCCCATGGACCATGGACAGAGGATCCTGGCAGGATCCTCCATGAGGAGGATGAGGCCACAAAGAGTCAGACAGAACTATTATTTTGTTACTTTGGTTACACTTTATGCATGTATTTTCAACCTAAACAATACATTTATGCTGAAAACTTCCTGTGCTCTTTTTCTTAATGTGTATACAACAGACAAATTTGCATTGAACAATGTATAAACAAAAGATCAACATAGGTATTTCTTCACATGGGCTAAATGGTTTTGTCATCACTAAATGACTAATTTAGGCTGCTAGTTCAACATAAAAATTCCCTGTGAACTTTAATTTGCATGCAAAAATACAGTTACTAAATCAAATAAAAGTTTTTCGAACAAAGACCTCTTATTTGAGTTTTTAATAAATCATTAATCACTATTTTTTCCTCCTAATTTTACAAGTAATGGATAAAACATTTCAAGGCTCCCTACAGAGTCTTCTTGACTTGAAAAATTACTCACATTTTAATGAGAAGGAGGGAACAAAATACACACAAAAATGAGGCAAGTATTT